CATGATGAGGGCCTCTGATATAAATCTCCCTCATGGATTTTTTCAATGCTTGGAAATGTTTTAGGTATTAAGTAATGAACAAGAATTTATCTATAAATGAAGGATTTGAGTGTTAAGGTTTCTTGAAATATTCCTTGTCTCATATCATATAATGAGTTATGATAAGAGAGTTTATGCTCTTTCAGTATCAATACAAGCATTACTCCATCTAATTTCACTACTTAGTTTTGAGATTTGATGGCCAAAGTGGCACTGGTGTTATGAGAATGCTCTATAACATTTATTGCTTTCAATCCACAAAGGCCTTGCCATGGCATGTGCTATGTAGTTTTAAACTATTTGTGTTTCTTGAATATTTAGGCTGGTCTCACTGTAAATCAACTACTTCTAGTACACTATTAATAATTATTGTACAGACATTTGGGCATATATTATTAACAAAGTTATGCTTGTTTTTTTGTGATATATAATTTGACATTCTATCAGATAAGTATGTGTCATTCCTCAGTGTTCTGGTACTTCTGTGAAGCTTTATGCTTATCATTTTGGGAATAAAATCTTAGCAATAAATGCATATACTGACTCTTCTGGATGACAGCATACTGAAATGGAATCATGAAGAATTACATCAGACGGAATTACATCCATACAGTGGTAGAGGCCTATTATGTTGCGGAAATTATGAAAAAAGGGCTGAGGTGTTGAAGCAATCTGCAGTAAAATCCTGTTGTAGCATCTGAACTGTCAGTTGTACTGACACCTGCTGAACTACTTAACTGGATAGAACTCTATCAATGGAGGATTCTTTATTATTCAAGTTTCATGCTGCAGGTGATGTAATCCAAGGATATGAAAATGGTGATGAGTTGAAAGGTGCAAGATAACAGTATCTCAAAGACAAAGGGTGTGAGTCTCAAATATTTTTGTGTTTAGATAGGTAAAAGGCAGTGAAACATTTTTGGAGAAAAGTGGTGGCACATTCTCAGGACAGGTTTAGATGATTTAGTTAATATAGGTCTATATAGTAAAACAAGAATGAAGAGTACTCAAAATCCAATAAAGTACTATTGTAACAAAACCCATGACTAACCTGTATTCAAAACAAATACTAATTGAAAAGACAGGGCTATTTTAAAGAACTTAATCTGAGAGTGCCATTATAGGCCTAACAGAAGTAAATATCCCAACTGACCTATATTATCATATACAGTATAAAGAAGGATTAGTAAATTATTTGTTTTGATACTGTATGATACTAATATTAAATAGTTTGATAACAGATGAAAAATGTATCCTATATTGAAACCCCGTCTTGACAAAAGAAGATTATCAGGAACAAAGCAAATCAAAGAGTACAGCAAGGTGAAATTGTACTTAAATTGAAATTGAATTTAAAAAAAGAATGGATACTGCAAAGCCTCTCTACGGATTCTGAAACACATTGAGACTTTAACACCATAACTTAAAAAAAAGTGTCACTGTGCACTATACCTGTCAAGAGTGTCATGTAGAGGGGGTACAGGTAGAGGTGGAAGGTCATCAAAACTGAAGGTCTTTTCGTTCTTTTCACTGCTTATATACATAACTTCATGTCGGGGCTTTTTCTTCCAAGTAGCGCTGGTGCTCTGATGGAAATAAATTGCGAATACATGTAGCGATACTTTACTTTCTAGTCTCAGTTGTTTTTGTTTTGTCTCTTGTTTACCTTAGTCTAGACTATTTAACTTATCTAAATCAATCTAATCAAGAAGAAAATGGACCTTTGAATTACATATTCTAATAGAAAGCTCATTCTGCAACAAAAGCAAACTAGTTAAGTAATGATTCTTTCTTCAAAAAATTAAATATGGTACATTTGTTCTTAAAAAAGTACAAATATATCACAACTTGAAAACCTACTTATCCTAGAATTAATAGTATTACACAGAAATTTAATAAATGTTGAATTACACTTTTATAAATCTTTAATATATAGATTCTGAAAGATTAAACTAATTCAAAGAACTTACAGCACTCATCTTCCCAAGGATACTGAACACAGCCTCTCTCCTTTCTCATGGATTAAAGGACGGAACAGTTCAACTTCTGCAAAGCATATAATTCTTAGCTTCAAACTGCATATATAAAAACACATATACACACATACACAAACACAAACACACACACACACACTTTCACTCGCATCATTTGCAATGGAAATAACAAGAATTTAATGCATACTACATTTAGATATCTTCATAAATATTACAACAGCACATCCTGTAAAACAAGGATGGGGTTTAAATCAATTTAAACTCATACTGGTAAAAATTTACAATAGGACCACCACCATCTGATACTAAGTCCCTAACTCTAACGTACAAAGAATGAACCGCGTCCTACATATACAAACTACTACTACTACTATTACTATGAACCTAAAGCCTTTCAATCCTAGACACATTTCCCTCATACCCCAGCAAACAATCATTAAACAATCCTTTAAGTAAACAAACCATTTCAGTTAACAAAAAACACTTATACATCTATCACTCAAATATCATACACCTATCACTCAAATCATACAATATCTGTAATTAAACTTGCATGATCCTACAAGGTAAAATGGTTACATAATCAAGAAGAATTCATTTCAAAAGGAAACCTTAGTCAAAGTAGGCAAAGAGAAGAAAACGACAAGTCATCATTACACAGCCAATAAAAATAAATATGCAACTCATTTAAGGAGGCTGCAATTTTCAAAGGTTTCACACAGCCAAGGCAAAGTTTGCTAGTAATGGATAAGAATGACAGAAAATAAGACACTGTTCATCTACGGAACTTTTACAAGTTATACAAAAAGTAATACATTATTATACATTTACGGGAAAATGTAAAGACACTGTCATGAAGAATGTGAAAAAAATACTGATTAGTTCCCAGAGAGGTGAGGCAACTTCATAAACAATTACCGATACTTTAAATTCCTGATATTTGCAATGGAAAAAAAAAATAAATAAATAACAAAAGATCCACCCGTATTACAATGTGATTAAATGCCACAAGGAATAACGATCGCAAGGTTGGATGGCTGAGTGAAACTAACAAAATCAATCTCAAATCGTCAAATAATCAATTACCACACATACATACAGCTTCAATAGTAGATAAATAACTTTTTTCTTATCAATCTTTAAGGTCTTATATCTCCAATCCAATCCAAGTTCCGAGGGAACAATATCTAACAACACTAAATACGCTCGCGCACCTCGCTCACGGCCAACCTATGAAAATCCAACTTTTCTTAACGTTGATAACAGTCACGTATCTCAATGAAGGTCTTTGCTTATCACACCACTTACCTTTGACCCAATGTTGTTGTGTTTGGGACCTCGATGACATTAAGGTGTTGTGTCGGAAGGAGCCAATCGGAATCAAATCTGGAGACTTGGGAGAGTTCTGATTGGTTCAGAATGTTCTGTACAGTTGCCGAATCCTGGATAAGTAGATTTCTATTAATTTTTAAGGACAGTAGAAAAAGACTGTTTGTACTGTTCTATAAAAAAAAAGTACAGTTGTGGAATCCTGGATAAGTAGATTTCTATTCATTTTTAAGGACAGTAGAGAAAAACAAACATTTTTACTGTTCTATAAATAAAAAAACAAGTGCAATGAACACAACTTATAATTACATGAATAAAATTAGATTATCATATTTTTACTATTCCTTTTCAGAATGGAATCCTGGATAAGTGCAATAGGCACAACTTATGATTACATAAATAAAATTATATTATCATATTTTTATCATTCCTATTCACAATTCATTAATCTCTCTTGCGAGTACGTTTCCCCTCCTAGTCCATCGCAGAGCACATATAGATAGTTATATAGATATAAATTGACAGAGAGATACACAGATAGGTAGGTAGATAGATAACTGTTTTTTATATTGTTAGTAGTTAGTCAAGAAAAAAGTCCAGGTGATAATGTAATATCACATCTAGCTGTCGGTATTGCTTCGCGTAGCATCGGCTCGGCGAGCTGAGAAAGCGGAATTTTCTGAATGCTTGCTTGAAGAACATGACGCCATACCAATGTATATACATACATGCATATCATTATATACATACTGCACATACATACATACAAACATTCATGCCAATATACATACATACATAACAATATACATACATGTATACCAATATACATACATACCTATAAGTACACATATACACATGTACATGGTTTCTCTCAGCTAATACTTAGCCTAAATGTGTCCTGTCTATTCGTTGCATAGCACAGCCTCGAACATAAGTTGTGTTTACATTCGGGGACCGAGGGCTACCGTTATTCAACTCAGGACAAGGAGACGGGAAGAAGGGGGGAGGGGAATCTTTATAGGGCTGGAGACGGTTTTCTTTGGACTAGAAATGCGTGTAATTGAAAAAAAAGTATATGTGACTGACTAGAATACTATAGCAGTAGCTTTCGAATTATAATCATGGCCATTTAATGACCTCTCCCCTCTACTTATCTTAGACTTCCCACGGTACCCAGCACTCTATTGGCTATTGCCTATGCCAACATTGACCTGCGCCCAGAACGGAACGACATTGACGAAGTGCCACCAGAGCAAGCGATTCCGACACTTACCGTCGATCACTTTCTAACTACATGTGAACTTATATCTTGATTATACTCAAAATATATGTTAGAAAATCCTCAATCACTATGTTTGTAATCATTATTATTGACGATAGTGTAGTTATCAAATGTTCACGATTTAATTGTACTGATATATCCAGTGTCCCCGTCCAAACATGTGACCACAAGAATTTAACACTGCCATGCTGTAATACAAAGAAACAAAACGTAAATTGTAACAACTGCACATTAAAGATCAAAGCAAGGTATAAAAAAAACGAGACAATAAAAATGGGAACATAAGAACTTTTGATATAGATAATGAACTGAAAATCGTCAGTATCCAACTATTAATGTAATATAAATATAGTGACATAAAACAGTGGTAAGAGAAAATTACGTTTGAATTTAAATGCATGAAGCTAATATTCTAGAAGGACGAATCTACTGTAAATTTCCACGAGGATTATGCATACGCTGACAAGATTTCGTAACAAATTTTTGCTACGTTTTCTAATTCGTTTCGCCAACTGTTATCATGATCTACACAAACACACACATACACACACAGTGTAAACGTGTCTTGTCAGCGGTAATGTGCAGATAAGACAGAGTCTTGCAGAATGCAGCAATCTTGGGTAGCGGTAAAGGAGTAACAGACGTTCTAGTAATTTGGAATAGTTTATTGGTGGGGGAGAAATACAGCTGACGGACAGAGGTTCCTGTTTAGTCAAAGTGCTTGGGCTGTTTGCCTGACGGGAGACAGGCGAGGTACGCAAGTAACACAAGGAACTCGTAAGGCAGACGCTGATCGTCACCGTACACGACGGGAGCAGCAGTGGTGTTCGGTCACATCGTTCCACAGGATCATTGGAAGACACAGTTAATTTATGAAGCGCCATGTCAGTCGTAAATGACAAGCACACCGGTTTAGCAGATTTTGGAAGACCAGATGAAACGACGAGACGAGGACTGAACTGGGAATCTTAGAAATGAGACCTTCGAAAATGACGTCGACAGCGGGAAGGACTTGTCATCGCGGGAGAGGAAGAACAGCATGGAGATGGCGTCACGTGGTTCGACGACAAGGGGCGACAACTTTTGCCAGGGTCACCAGCACAGAGAAGCAGGTGTGGTGAGGGAGGCGAGATGCGGCGAGGACGTCATCAGAGCGATAGCCACCGGCGGACGATGCGGCAGCGATGTCTGCTGAATGACATAATCGGAGGTGCACTGACGTGGAGGACAGAAGGGCGTCGGCAGGTGATGCAGCAGCGAGGACATTCGTAAGATGGGGTTCGACAGCGAGAACGCGAGCGAGGTTTGGCGCGCCATGGTTCGGCGGCGAGGGCAGTGACGTGGTGATCTGAGAGTCAAGATCAGCAGTGGGCTTCAGCACGGGGCGTCTAGCTATGAGGATAGCGGACAGGAACAACAGTACCATGTTTTGGCGACAGAAGACATAATGCTATATCTCAGGGAGTTACAATATCAACACGAACTCGAAACGAATAAGAAACTATAGGAAGGGCGTGTAAGGGATTCAGAATAGAGGATGTTATGTTAGTGCTCACTAAATTACAAAATAATTTTTTCTTCCAGGGAAATGAGAGTAGTTGCATGCGAAAATGTAAGATTGATTTTTCTTGGGAAATTGATTAAGGGTAGTTGCATAATAGAGTAGGATCGATTTCTCTGATAAGAGAAACTATAGGAAGGGCGTGTAAGGGATTCAGAATAGAGGATGTTAGAAGATAGAAGGGCAGTAATGAACAATCGAGCAATCGAGATTGTAGGGATAAAATATCGTGAAAACTGCGAGTGAACAGAGTCATGTAAAATATAGGAATGATTCTCCACAAAAAATATATGTAGATTTCATATGCAAGAGCAGTGGACAACAGATATTCTTCGAGAATGAAGGAAGAGTGCTCACTAAATTACAAAATAATTTTTTCTTCCAGGGAAATGAGAGTAGTTGCATGCGAAAATGTAAGATTGATTTTTCTTGGGAAATTGATTAAGGGTAGTTGCATAATAGAGTAGGATCGATTTCTCTGATAAGAAATTACGACCTTTCCCCTGAGAGATAGAAGGGCAGTAATGAACAATCGAGCAATCGAGATTGTAGGGATAAAATATCGTGAAAACTGCGAGTGAACAGAGCCATGCAAAATATAGGAATGATTCTCCACAAAAAATATATGTAGAATTCATATGCAAGAGCAGTGGACAACAGATATTCTTCGAGAATGAAGGAAGAGGGCTCACTAAATTACAAAATATTTTTTTTCTTCCAGGGAAATGAGAGTAGTTGCATGCGAAAATGTAAGATTGATTTTTCTTGGGAAATTGATTAAGGGTAGTTGCATAATAGAGTAGGATCGATTTCTCTGATAAGAGAACTATAGAACATGTAAAAAATGCAAGAGAGATTTTTCTGTGAAATAATAGGTCAATGAATGAATTGAAATTCAGCATCGTGCGGATTCAGGAATCATCTTGACTTAGATTAAGAGGAAATGAAGGAAGTACTGATAGGTAGACGGTCAGAACTACGGGGAAATGATAATACCGAAGAGGGGAAGTTTAGGCAAACCGAAGGGCATTAGTAAAGCGCATGCAGGGTAAGTAGGAGGGACAGATTTTTTTAAGGGGAGGAACAGAGGAACACAGGTGGTTCGTGAGATCGAGGGGAAAACAGATACTTAATTTTACAGGGAATTTCCTAAACAAATGAGAACAGCGAGGAATAAGGAACTCACCTTGAGGTGTTGATTGATATTGCAGGCATCAGTGTAATGATTACGAGTGATGGGTGAATAAAATATCGAGTTTTTCCGGTTTATTCTATACTCTAAACTGTGGGAGTTTTAGGTGTTGATAGAGCTGATGCTGAGACCAGCGTGACTTCGTCTATGAGTTTCAGAGATGACCACAGGTCGTTTTGTACGATACTGTATGAAAATGTCTCTACACATAAGAAAATGGAAAACATTAATCTTCAGTAGGAGGGTAAATGTAGGCTCTCTGTTTTATGGCATTCATAGGCCTCTGTGGTCACATGTGTTGGAGGGGGACACTGGATATGTTAGTACAATTAAATCGTGAATATTTGATAACTGCAGTATCGACAATAACAATAATTACAAACATAGTGATTCAGAATAAGCATTTTCTATCGAACAATTTGAGTATAACCAAGATATAAGTTTACATGTAGTTATAAAGTGATCGGCGAGAGTCACGCTAAGTGTCGGAATTACTTGCTCTGGAGGCACTTTATTATTGTCGTTCCGTTCTAGGCGCAGGTGATAACCAGTAGAGTGCTGTGTCCCGTGGGAAGTCTAGGGTGAGTAGAGGGGAGAGGTCATTAAAGTCAGATGATTAAAGCAAGTACTGAGGACTGCGATAGGTGGTGAAGAACTGCAACAGGTGCTAAGAGAGGAGCGATGTCCCTTCGGCACTCATTTTGATGGTCGAATTTTTGGTTGCATCTTCAGAAGGCTGATGAGCTGCATCAGGAAAGACCAGGTTCGTGCTTGATAGACTATAACTGTTGGGAGTCAGCACATGTCGCAAAATTAAGTTTTCATGTGGCAAAAGTTGACGAAGGTATCTCTACCTGCAAGAGTCAATTAAGATGTCTTCGGAGGGGTTTGACGTGGTGCGATATTGCAGTGACCAGCAAGGCTTGATTATAGTGTCAGACTTCGA